CCGACACCTCCAGACTCGGGGCGCGCTTGGTCCGTGACTAAAACCCTCTGTTTTTCCAGGGAGGAGGGCTGGTTATTAACGCAAATAGCTAGGGATGTCTTACATCGGAGAACCTTTAGGCTAAGTTAATGGAAATTTATTCCCAAGGAGGGCTATAAGCTCAAAAGGAGGTATTTATAAGAGGCACGGATGGGGCGCTTAGGGACACGGTTGAGTGGTGGAGTCGGCAGCGTTGGGTTAACAGTTGGACTCGATGATCTTAAAGGTCCTTCCCAGCCTAAACAATTCTATGATTCATCAAGGCTGCAGTGAGACAGGGTAAGTGTCTTCTCAGAATGGGGCTCCACCTTGTCACCAGGTCAGGATTTACAGCGTTTTCAGGTCCTCTTTCAATTTCAGTAATACCTCACAGTGCAGCAGCCACCCAAGCTTTACTTCGCATTAAGAATAACCCCAATTATTTCTTAGAAGACAATTGCATAAAAAAAAAGCTAAAGAGCACTCGCTTTACTACTTTGTCACTGGAGTCACAGAGCAAGGATTGTCTTTATTTGATTGGAAAATAAACCACCATACATTCAGCATCAAGCTCAAGCATGGATAACCAAAACGTGCGGCTTTCCTACTGACACTACCCCTCTTCTGTAGCACTCCCTTCCGAAGCCCAGTTGTTCATCTTTCACTATTTGAGACCAGTTTGCCCTGTATAACTGAGCTCGATCTCCTTCTCAACCTGCTGTCTCCATTATTTTGTTTGTTTGTGGTTTGGGGAGGGTTTTTTGTTTGTGGGGTTTTTTTTTTAGAAATTATTTTTCTCCAATAGAGATTAATTGACATCTATAGGTTAACACCTAACCTACAGAAGAAAAAGACAAAGAAAGATTGAACATGCAGCCAAGCAATTTGGCAGATGACACGGTGTAAAGCATGCATGCTTACATAGTCTCGTTAGGAACCAAGCACTACCTTTATTATGTTCAGCCTCCAAAGGAAAACTAATGATTAACTTAATACCACATTTATTTTTAGATAGTATTGCAAGAGTGCACATCACCTTACAAACACAGAAAAGATAACACAAGCCTGCCCCAAGGAGCTTTACAATTCCACTTTGACAAACATCACAAAAAATTTTGTGACCAGGAGGAGGTTAAAGAGAGGGGACTTTCTGAAAAAGGGGTTTGTCCCAGGAATAAGAAGCGAGTGACAGGGAGAGGCACAAGGAAGTGACAAGCAGCAATAGATGACAACATGGGGCACAGGACACTTGATAAAAACAGATTGCGCAGAGACAGGCTGAGCAGCACAGGCTTTATAATTAACATGTAAGAATGCATCTACATAAGACATCATTGTTTCAGCTGTTCCAGAGAAGATAACATTGTGAAATATAAATCAGAAGTGGCTTTTTTTTTTTTTAATTAAAAAAAAAAAAACAAAACCAACAAAAAAACAGCCAACAACAGTCCCTTCCCATCAGGAATCCTACCATAATACCAGTTTCCACTATGGATGCTTTGCACTTCTAAACTGGAAAGTAGGGAATACCAAAAGCTCTGCAGATGCAGAAAGGACTCAAAGCAGGAGGGGGGTGGTAACAAAACACGTAGTTTTAAGGATTTAATTCTTTTTACCCCACAGTATCTGCTTTATATTTTGTGGCATATTTTCCAAATTCATCAGCCTGTCAAGAGGCAAATCTCCTACTTTAAAACGTTGTAGAGATTTACTGACTTAGTTAAAATCTCATTATCCCACAATTTTCATTTGTAGACAGAGCATGAAGAGGCCAGGCTTTGCTGTGGCAGTTAAACATTTCAATGGCTGTAGCAGCACTGCAGTTAAATTGAAGCCTCAGCAAGATTTGCTTTTTTTTTTTTTGCAGACATGTGTCCAGTTTTCATCTCAAGGGTCCAGATACTCTACGACAGTAACTGAACAAAGTTGTAAGTGTCCTGTTAAGCAACACAGCGCAGATTTTCTCTGCTACTCCTGACAGCATCATTGCATTAGTGCTATAGAGACTGTGTCAATGAGGCTTTGGTACTGACAGATTAGTGAAACGAAAAAGCTGCCACCATCCCTTCCCCACTCTGTTAATTTATTGTTTTCTTTTAAATACAGATGCATATTAAATACATGCAGGAGTCCATAGAAGCCACGAGCAATGTTTCCAGAAGGTGCACTTTTTCACAGTGACACCCTTGACTCTGAGAGCTCCTACAAAGAGCATGTACTCACAGATTGGGTTTCTGCTTCATTACAATCAGTTGGGGACACTTGTACAGAGGTCTTTCCCATGACCAACCTCCTTGCATTGCTCATGTGGATGAGGGTAAGGAGGTACAAGGGCATAAAAAACCCAAACCCACCAACCCTACAAATTCTAGGATTTAGGAATAATGAAAGTAGTTAAACACATTGACCTATATTTGAGCTATACAGGTAAATGCATTATTGATTTAAATTGATGTGGCTCTCTAGTCTTTGGTAGCCCATTAATTTTTTTTCCACAAGGTGGCTCATGCACATAAAAGAGTGCATCAGGAATTTTCTTGGTCCTGCATCACTTGGCTAGAAAGCGACAGAGCCATTTTCCATTCCAATTGTAGGTAATCCACAATTACATTTCCATAAGCATCAAAGAACGAGGCAAACTGCCCAGGAACAATCACATATAACAGGACCAGCCCAACAGTGTTTGCTTCTGCACCATGCAAGACTGTTTCTGGCTGAAGCCAGGATGCTCTGTCCTCTCAAGGCACTCACCCCTGCAGGAGGTGCAGTGTTTAAGCAGTTATGCCACAGTCAGTGGGAGTATTTGCACATCTTGCATGCAGACACAGGGTTTTTGATGGATAAATTTGAGACTGCTTTTAAAAGTAGTTTGGTTCACAACTGTCAGAGTAAATTAAACCCCACAGGATCAGACCAGTGTTTCACCTAGCCCAGCATATATTTTCTCCATCTTTGACCAATTCTTAAGAGAAAGCGTGTAGAAAAGTAATCTTTCCTTGGCATAACGTTCTTATTTACAGCAACTTAAAATCTCCCTGAGTTAGTGGATGCATCAGACCATTGCTTAACCAGCCCCTTTTTAAAAACACAGTTATACTTCTGTTCCCCAACTGTGTTCTGCAGCAATCAATTCCATAGTTTGACTTTGTGCTGCATGAGAAAGCCCTCTCATTTGTCTGTTCAACCCTCAACAACTAAAACTTCATTGTGTACCCGCTAGCCCTTGTGATTGCAAGCCAAAGGCACACTTTACTCTTGAGATGCAAACACAGCCTGAAACTGTGACTCAAAGGCATGAGCTCTATTCCTTACAGCTGACCAGCAGCTTCTCAACACCATGGCACATCAGCAGAGACACTAAGCACAGGTATCCACCATTTTAGCAGATGAAACTGGGTTAGAGGATACGCCTAATAAAGGGCAGGAACTGGGAACTGCAGTAGGGACGTAGGCAAGGAGGAAGAAATGCTGAGTTAGCACACTGACACCCTCCAACAGCTGTCTCTATTTTAAGACACTGAGTCTGAGGACTGTGGCTCAGACACTCACCTGTCTGAGCTCTAACTAAAAAAATAAAAATAAATACTTCATCTGTCATGGTCATGTCACAAATATCTCCGAGCAAGAGTAGGAATCTCCTCTTCAAAATATTTAATAGTAAGAGGAAATGCAGAAATCTGCAAGAAAGTCCTCTGGAAAGCTAGGCAAGCTGTACTACTGCTGGTGGGTCTCTCAACATGTTCTTGAGACAATGCCAGGTGAACAGGAAAACAAATCAAAACTCTGCCTCCTTAATTATTGCTCGACACAAAAGAAAAGCTGGGAAGCCTGCTAAATCATCACCAAAGCTAGAGGGCAACAAAAGACAAGAAGTTCTAGGAAAGTAAAGTGTTGACAGCAGGCAATGAGGCTGTCTTGGAACAAACACATTTAATAAAGGCAACACATTAAAAATTTTCCACGAATGTGTAAAATACTCAAGTGGCAAGTCTTTTTGGAACAAGTGACTGAAGACTAAAAGATACCATGGAGTGGAGTGGCATCTGAACTGCCCGCAGGAGGCTGGCTGGGGCAGTCGCTCCAGATGGCGCTGCTGTCCCACGAAGCTGCCTTGTCATCCTGTGCTGGCAAGGCCACCAGCAAGGGACTCCGCAGGGCCTCCAGCCGTCCTGCCGAGGCTCTGTGCAAGAGGTCACCAAGCTTGCTATTTAGGGAAGGTGAAGGCCTGGCTGGGCTGAGCATCTGCATGCCTCAGACCATCGGTAAAGGAGTTAACACCCAGTTTCCAGGTAATTTCTTAAAGGAAGGTTCGAGTGCACTGTTGTTTCTAATCCCCACCTTAGACCTAACGGGGCAGTGATTGAGTCAGTAATTACTTTTCTGACCAGACATAAAGAAGTTGAATGACTTACCCCCAGCCAGGCTTTGCAGTAATTGGCAGTTCAGAAAGCACCAGCACTACGTCTTCATAACCGTTTTTATTTCTGCCCCCAACCTTCCTGCAGCCACTAGCTCAGCCCAGCACGTATGCTGCTGCACACCTGCTGGTGACGTTCATCCTCAACGCTGCACAGTCCTGCTCCCAGCAGGTCCAAATGGTGCTGTGGTTAATACTAGTCAAAAGGCTACAGAGGCTGAGCTACTGACCTTAACAAGAATGCTAAGGGCAGAAAAGTCTACTTTAGACAAGACTTAGGAAAACCTCTATTAAAAACAAGCAGGTTAAGAATTCCCTTTGTATTCCCTTTGTGGTGAACAGGCCTGGGGCACCTTTACCCACATGTATTGCTCTGTAAATCAGCTTCACCATACAATCAATCAGCATGTACTCTGTCCAGGCAGAGCATCAGCATTGTAGAAGGCTCTTAGTACAGCCAAACCGGCAGCTTTTTGGTCAGTCACAGTAACCTGGTGTTCAGCAGCTTGGGGGCTATGATCAGAACAATGTAAATAAGCTATGGCTAGAGGAAGAATTACATCACCACATCACCCTGCCATATGTCCACAGGGTCCAGTTACTAGACACAAAGGAGTGTTCTGCATTCTTGATTCTTTTCAACAGCAAGTCAGCTGATGACACATGAACACCAAGGTATTTGGAGCCCCAGATCTCAGCTTCAAGAAGCTTCTCCACTTTACTCCATACACATTGCTGCTCCCCTCCCAGGGTCACGTTGGCAGGAAGAAGAGGCAAAAGGCAACAAGTCTCAAAGCACTTCATCGGTAAACAAGATCCAATTCCTATCTCAAAGGTTCCAGGACTGCAGACAGTTTAAAAACACATATAGATGGTTTGCGGGCCAGGAAGAAGAACACTAGGCCTTTGAAGGCTTGGTCTAGGACCAAGCAGTCCAGTAGGCTCTTCATTTCAGTGTGGAAGGCAGATCCATTGCTCACAGTCTGTGTCATTTGCAGTACTAAAAGGTTTGGGAGCTGTCAGTGCTAGCAGTCAACATTTAGCAATACACTGAAGCTGTGCTTATACACATAGGAATAAAATCCCCATCCCTGCCTCAGAAACAGTCTGGGGTATGTCTGGATAGACAGTAAAACCACTGGGTCCAGCTCCACATCAAGCGAAAAGACCATTATGAAGCCTCCAGGGCAGGAGGAGAGTGCAGCTTGCATCTGAGACAATGTCAACCAAGGTTGGGGGAAGAGGGGGCAAAGACAGACTTCAGTGGGTTACATTTGCAAACTCAACTTATGGTCTTTCTTCCCTCTTCCCCCATCCCTCTTCCCCCATCCTCTCCCCAATTTCCTACGCAGAGACTCTGCTGCTGGAGAATGTGATCAGGGGATAATTTAAGACACGATATCTGCATGGCCTTTATAAAAAGGAAAAGTGTCCTGTGTTCTGGAGTAAGGAGTGGGAAGTCTCCTCCTGCCATATATCTGAGGAAAGCTCAGTCATGATGTCCAGCCCTCACTCCAGTGATGAGCAAAGACTGGCAGAGCCAGGAGAGAAAAAGCCTGGCTTACACCACAGGTAGAACCCACGGATGTGGTAGGAACCTGTACAGGGGAGGTTGTATTTGAAGCACCAGTTTAAACAAAGGCTTCCTCATTGGGAGTGCCGTTGATTTTGAAGAAAAGTTTGGCATCCTCCATCTTCTGTTTTTTTTCTCTCTCTAGCCTGCGTCTGTAGCAGACCAGGTAGATTGGAAGGCAGAAACCCAAGAAGCTCACGCCAAGCAAGCCAACGTTCACCTGCAGGAAGAAAGGCAAAACAAAATTAGGCAGGCTAGGAAGATGACAACCTAGTCACGCCATGCCAAAAGTGTCAGAACCCAGCCCACGTCACTCAGCTGTAGGCAAACCAGGAGACGCCCTGCTCAGTGTATTGGCAACAACCTCCACCATATTTATATTTACCCTCCTGTGCCCAGAGCATCACATGTATAATCTAAATGCTGCAAGAATTTGTTGCTCTGGATCATGGCTGTGGGAGTCTTGTTCCACTAAACAGGCAGGGCTTTTTAGCTGTGGTTGTTTTACACTAAGTTTGCTGAGTGAAGAACAACAGGCTGCTGGGGTGGGCACATGTAGCCTAGAGACCAGGGACTCTCCCCAAGACCACCCATGTCATGATTTTAATAAGCTGCCCAGATAGACTTTCATCAAGACACCACATTAGCCCTACCCTCAATAGCCACTTGGCTTTCCAGACATTAGAATCAGCAACCCAAAATTTACTGGTAATCGGAGCTAATAGCTCTCAAGGGAACAGAGTATGTCTACTGCATTTTGGGGTCCGCACAGATTCACTCACTTATCTGACAGATTTTGACTCGCCACACAAACTGTTAGCAGAAAGCACTCGTGCAGCCTTCTTCCTTCCTCACTTTCCATACACCAACATACGGGTTAATGGCTTTCCCTCCCAGGGAATCATTACTCAGGCCTCCTGGACAGCACCAAGGTAACAGCAGGCTGAGGGTCATGTAAAGTCCCAGCTTTTTTTAACCTTGGTCCGTATACAGGAGTCCTTTTGTTTTCAAAGAAATGAGCCAAAAATCATCCTAACCACCAAGCCTTCACATTAAGTTTGAGAAGAACTTGCCCAGAGAGGGTCTCCTTCCAAAGGTCCCGTCAATGCCATAAAAAGAGGCTGCTGCAGAAGGGCGAAAAGGGCACTGATCAACGACTGCAACCCTGTCAAGCTGCCAAACTGAGTAGAGGGGTATCTGTCAACAGAGAAAGCAACAGCATTATTATATGTCACCTTGACTGTTCACATCATCCAGATCAGATTACATTCCCAGTCAACTAGCACAACAGAACACAGTCCCAAGACAGGCATAATATGAAGAATTTCTCTCCTGGACTTATGTATAACTATGTCTTTTTATAGAGTATTTAGTTATACCCAGTGGCGTGCACAGTGCTCTCTAGAGCAGAATGCAGCTGGTGACAAGGCTGGAGCCTTCCTCTCCAGACTATTCTCCTTCTCAGCTCTCAAACTGAAGTAGTATCAGATCCAGCACTTGTTTTGTTTTGCAGTTGTACCATAGGCAGGTGGAAGTGCTTATACAACTACTGTTCCTATTGCAAAGGGAGAAGAGCATTGATATTTACAAGTTAAAAGGAGGGCCTCTATCCACATGACAGCATTCGCGGCTGAGCAATCATTTTCATCTGGTCATAACAATTTGCTCCTTTTAGAAGTGAGTGAAACCTGCACAACAGGTTAGTATGTGTTTTCCTCTTTAGAGGACAAGCCTGATCCCATGTCAAACTAAACAATACTGTTGATAGGAAAGCACTGAATATCTGATACTACTAATGGAAAAGTAAATTTCAGGAACAGTCTAACATCTTTCTCTTTCCATGACTGAGCAGTGTTTAAAGAGGGTCAGGTTAAACTAAGCTTAGAAAGAAAGAAGTGAATCAAAACCTTCAAATACTCAAAGAAGTCACATTCAAAGCAAAAAATACCTTACTCCATGAAGTTCCAGAGAGTTGCAATGGTCAAACAGGATTAGTTTACAAGCAAGCTGATATGTACAGCAAGAGGCATTTACCTTGCCTAAGACAAAAATCTTTTGCTTCTGGCTGCCAGGGAACCAAAAGTTTATGCATTTTTGAAGCAGAGTCTTAGATGGGTTTTCTAGTCTGGAATTCACCAGACACTGGGACCAAAACCTTTGACAGAAGGAGCCTGTGCAGTTTCCATCCATGGAGATATTCAAAACCCAACCGGATGCAGTCCTGGGCAACCTGCTCTAGCTGACCCTGCTTGAGCATGAGGGTTAGACTAGATGGTCTCGAGAGGTCCCTTCCCACCTCAACAATTCTGCGATTCTCTGAAAGATAACAGCTTCTTTCTGTTCCTCTGTCCAACAGCTCAGGACAGAGGGGCAGATCTGTTTTCAAAACCCAAAACATTGCTTAATAAGGAAGAGAGTATTTAGATTCAGCTATTGATAATTTTGAAAAGTTGGAAACAGGATGGATGATCTGTCCTGGAAGAGGGAGTAGGCATCACTAATGGTATCTTGAGCAATGCTTTACCTATGTGATTTCAGAGCAGACCAGTAGCAATGTATTCAATTATGTTAATGTTTTACCTGGACACATGCACATAGCTACTCATTATAAAACAAAAAAGCCTTGAGTTTCTACTATATAACCTTAGTGTCAATAGCTTAGTCTCACCTGAGGCCCATATATAGCTGTGCCTCTCTCACTGCAGTAGCTGTGACAAAGGGGTTAGCTGTTTCCAAACAAGGAAAGCATCAGCTAGGACTCCAGTGCAGCCACTGTCATATCCAGTGGCGACTGAGGAAACAAGTTGCATCATTTTTCCCCTCTAACCACAGAGACTTCACTTCCTTATCTCCCTCTCATCCAGAGAGCTTATCATCCTAAACCAGTTTATCTGGCCAGCCACATATTACAAAAGTAAGCAGAGACTTACACAGCTGCATAGAGGCCTCCGACAGCTGAGTGGATGAATCCTCTCACAATTGTGTGCAAAATGAAGGAAAGAATCTGGAAAGAGAAGCAGAAAAATGTCACATCCTAGATAGCACATAGGTGTGCCAGACCCCAATACATAATGATTCCTGAAAGTTGTTCTCCTTTCTAATACAAAGACGAGCTAAAGGAACTCAGAACCAAAATCTGAAAGATCAGCACAGGGAAGAAATTTGTATTCATCTCTAAAAGCACAGCTTTTCCTTACTTTGCAAAGGCTAACATGTAGTACCCCCTGAGGTTAACCACACACAAGACCTCTCTCATTTGTAGAAGGTACTGCTGCAAGAACATGTCTCCAGCAAACTGTGGCCAGGATCACAACACGCTCTTTCCTTTTTTCCTGAGTTTGTGGCCAGTTTAGTTAATTTTTCACAAATTATTGCAGACAATATGCAAGTATGAGCAAACTATATCTGTTTGCCTACGTCATCAAGGCATGTTTAAGTATAGCATAAAATCACTGAACTCTTCTGCCAAAACCAGGCGGTGCCACAAAATAAATATTTTAACAGGTTTATAATCCCACAGGTACCACTGGGCATAGCATTTGATGCAGAAATAACCTGCTGTATATATCGGTGTCATGCTTCTTACAGCAAATTTTCTGGCCATAAGCAGCTTAAATCGAGCCCAGGCTAAATGCACAGGCACTGTTAAGAGCATCTCCGTACAGAAGTGTTTGTTGTTACAGAGCTCAGCTGCAGAAACTTCTAAGTTTGAAGAAACTGTCGATCAACTCTGACATTTTAACTATAGCTGCTTCTTTAGGTTCTCTCGAGAGATGTAAACTGCACGGTATTACTTGTTTCAGCTCTAGGACTGGGTTTCCCAAAGCAGTACAGAAGTCTCCCAGCAGTACCAGAAAGCCCTCCTGCCACTAACTGGTTCAGCTGGCTTACAGGACCTCCTGCACTGTCCTGCCTGTCATTTTGCCAGGACCCACGCTGCCAGCCCCTCCAGCACACCCATCCATTTGACCTATTCACCTGCAACGGTAGATTAGGAATAAGACAGGTGATTCCAAATCCAACCAGCAGGACATTTGTGAATGCAAAGGCATTGGTGGCATTGGTGATTTTCTGGATCTGACGATCACGTTTTTTCTTTTTCTTGTCACTTCTGGAAGGATAGCAAAACCTATGTTACAAAAAGCACTTTCAGCAGCTACCGGAACTCACAGCAAGATTCTCCACATATCACAACTCTATCTAAACCAGTTTGGCTAGAGGTCTGCCTAAG